TGTTTTGTTTGGTTTTTTTTTACAAGGCTTTTATCCTATCTTCCCCACAGTCGCAGTGCTAACACTCACATAAATGCAGTAGACATATTGGTGCTCATCAAAAAGTAAAACACTTGGCTTGAATAATTGAAAATGGCTTTTCTGGTGCCAAGAACCAATCACTATCATGTAAATAACAGCAAATAAGAGGGGACCTATGGGAACACTTGGAAGATGAATGACTTCACAGCTTCGAACACTGCTGAGAGAAGTGCTGAGCAATGCAAACTTTGCAATACAGGATGCTTACTGGAAACAAATTCAATGACAATGGTGAGATTTATAATCTCAACTGTTTTGGTTTTGATTGTTTCATCCCATCTGTGTTTTTAGTGCTTCTGAAAATTAGAGTGTGGAAAAAGTTTGAGCTCAGCTCAAGAACCAAGACAAGGGCACGGAAAATCCTACTGGACCCCCCGCACCCTACCCACCACCTTTTCCAGCTACTCCCCTCAGGCAACGGCTACTGAACCATGCGCTCCAAAACCAGCAGACATTCAAACAGCTTCTTCCCTCTCGCCATTAACTCCCTAAACAGTAACTCAAATCTGTCGTGGCTCTTTGCATTTTTGCACACCCCTGTGCAACAGGATCACCGCAATGATCAATGTTGCTCCAGCTCCCTCCACATTTGAACAATTGTCGATGATCAATATTCCACAGCACCAAACACTTTAAAGCGCTCAAGGACTTTCTGTATAGTTGCGCACCTAAACTTGTACTACAATTACTGCTACCGGTCACTTACAAAAATGGTGCACAGCCATCATAGTATTGCATTGAACCACTGATCCTTTATCTCCGCTCGATACTCAGCACATTGTCGCACATCTTCTCATTGTGTGGTACTACTGCACATTGGTACTCTTACATTATGGAAAGTCTTTCGATACTTGTCTACCATGTCCTTGTTTATCGTAGTTGCTTGTTATTGCAGTACTAGGGTAGCCTGTACTACCGGAGACAAATTTCTTGTGTGTTCGACATACGTGGCCAATAAAGGTGATTCTCCTCTTGTTGCATGTGTGTAGCCTTCTCTTTGCACGCTATATATATATATATATATATATATATATATATATATAAGCACCAGGCCCGGACATGGTCCACACCTACTGGCTAAAGACACTCACAGCACTCCATGAGCGCCTAGCAACACAAATGAACCAGTTGCTGAGGGATGGGACTCACCCAGGATGGCTAACCGAAGGGCGAACGATCCTGATCATGAAGGATCCCTC